GAACCACCTAGACCAGGTGCCTGTTTCCACTTAACAGGTAGGGAAATTGAGGCCTGGAAGGGAACACAGGCTCACAACCACTTCACACAGCTGTGTGACAGAATCTCAACTGGGCTGGTGTTCAAGTGCACTTGGTCCGAAGAATTTCAGTAAGGGTTGGCCCTCAGTAGGGTGGCCCTTCTGTGTCCAAGAGTTCTGTAGCAGAGGAATCAACCAAGCAGGGACTAAAAGTACTCAAAAAAGGGCAGACAAGACGGTTGATCCAGGAAAGGCACTTATGCCAAGTTTAATGGCCCAAGTTCAATCACTAAGACCCAGGTGGTGGAACGAGAGAATTGACACCCAGTAGTCCTCTGGCCTTCAAATGTAAACCATGATGCACACTCCCACCGCTGCCTCCCTCTATAATAAATAAATAAATAGATAGATAAATAAATAAATAGATGTTTTAAATTTTCCAGGAAAAAAAAAGCTTGCATACAGTAATGCACCCCTGAATCCCAGCTGCAATCAGGAAGATTAGAAGTTCACGATCATCCTTGACGAGGTGGTAGGTTTGAGGCCAACCTGAGCCACATGAGACCCTGTCTCAAAAAAAAAGCAGAGAAAGGCTAGAGAAATGAGTCAGCGGTTAAGAGCGCTGGCTGCTCTTACGGGGGACCTGGATTTGAGTCACAGCAACCACATGGTGACTCTAACCATCTGTCTGTAACTCTAGTTCCAGGACATTTGACTCCCTTCTCTGACTTCCAAAATACATGTATGTGTACTTTATACATATGGTACACAGACATACATGCGGGAATACACTCATATGTGAAATAAAAATAAATATTTAAAGTGATTAAAGTGTCTACTTTAAGTATCTCAGTGAAGTATTTTGGTATTGAAACAATACAAAGAAGTTACAAGGAAAAACAAATTTGACAGAAACTTGTAAGCTACCATCTTGGTATCTATTGCACCCAAACTCTCATTGCCACATCTGGAGCAGAACCCACTCCAAGACACTTAAGCATTTGGGGAAGGGTACTCTCTATATCCAGCAGCCCCTACTGCTCTTGGGCACATGCAGGCTCAAGTACCCATGGGGCAGGAGTGTTCTTCCCTTCCCGAGGTGGACTCAGAGCTCCTGGGACATGTGGTATTAAGAGCCCTACACTAAGCTGGGTGAGAGTGGCATAGACCTTTGATCCCAGCACTCGGGAGGCAGAAGCAGGCAGATCTCTGTGAGTTCAAGGCCAGTCTGGTCTACAAATTGAGTTCCAGGACAGCTACACAGAGAAACAGTGTCTCAAAAAACCCAGAAAAGAGAGGGGGGACCCTACATTATGTTGCCACCTCAGTTTGTGGACTCTTATTGGCCTAGGGGGAGGCTCTGGTTATTAGGAACTTGTGTTCCTTTACCTACTTAGGAAGTGGGAAAGTCCACCCTGCCTCATGTGGGTGGGGCTCTGGGTAGGAATGGAACTTGGAACCTGTCCGTGTGTGTCCATATCAGGGAGAATCTGAAGATACACCGTTGTCATTAATGGTCCTGGGCTGACTGAAAAAGCCCATCTGCACCCCTGTGTGGTCCAGGGTCCTTCTTCATCTCCCACCTTGACCCACTGCACCTGGGGGTGTCAGACTGGTCCCCCATAGCAAGCAGGAAGGCTCCACTGAGCTGGAGCCTGGGCTTCAGGGTACCACCCCACGCGGCACCAGAAGCAAACTCAAATGAAGGATGCTGAGATGCTTAGCTCAGCTCCCATCCCCTGCCTGCTGAAGATGCCGCCAGCTGAGGCTCACAGGTGACTCCCATCTCCCAGCTGTGTGTTCCTGAGCCAGTCAGCTCACCTCTCACCTGGCAGGGCTAAGGTGGCCTACTTTTAGGATTTCAGGGGTACAGTGACCCCAGGTCAGCACCTAACAAGCAACTGGTCTCTTTCCCCCTGCTTTTGGTGGTGGAGTATAGAGTGAGTTTGGAGCCAAGATGCGGGGATATCACAGGGCACTGTCCCTGGCCCTTCACTCCCTAGCTCTCTCTCTAGGTGTAGGGGCTAGAGGCAGAGGTTCAGGCCAAGTACAGAGAGATCAGATGAGGAGGGTGCTTCCAGAGCAGAGGCCCTGGAAGCGGTGTTAGACAGGCTTGGGCCAGGTCTGGGGGTGTCCAGGCCAGGGAGTGGGGCCTGGAAGAGATCAATTAGTCAAACGGCTGCAATTGGCCATTTGGAAGCAATTAACAGGGTGTCCATTACCATATTATGCCCCCCCACCCCCTGCATGCTCTGCTAGGCCCTGTTCTGTATGAGGACAGAGCCTCAGCCCAGCCTATCCCAGGCAGACTGCAATAGAGGCCCAGCTCTGGCCCAGCCCAGCCCATACCCAGGCTGCCTCTGCTGGCGGGGGGGGGGGGGTGGTGGTGGTGGGGAAGCATTTGAGACCAAGCCATGGGTCCATCCATAGCCTGAGGGAGGGTCTGGGGACTTCCAAGGCCAAGAAGGTCAGTGCAAGAAAACCTCACTAAAGAGAGGGCTGTAGGAAGCAGCCCAGGGGTGGCCAACAGTACAAGCCCACCTATACCAAGGCCTCCACCCCGGGAATGAACCTGAGTGGGGTCTGAGATAGGGGTGAAGGCAGCTCTTTCCAACTATAGAGTGGAGGGTAGGTAGAAGGACCCAGGAACCCTTGCATAAGGCCCAGAGGAATGTGTTTAAGATTTATTTATTTTTATGTGTATGGGTGTTGTTGCTGTTGGTTTTTTGACTGCCTGTAAATATTTGTACCAGATATATGTCCTCAGAGGCCAGAAGATGGTGTCAGATCCCTTAGAACAGAAGTTACAGACATTTGAAGCCACCATGTGGTTGCTGGGAACTGAACCTGTGTCTTCTGTAAGACCAGTCAGTGCTTTTAACCAATGAGCATTTCTACAGACCCTTTCTTAGCTTTGTTTTGTTTGTTTTTGTTTGTTTGTTTTTAAGACAGGGTCTCCAAGCTGAGGCTGACATCAAATCTGCTTTGGGGTTGCGGCTAGCATGGAAGTCCAGCATCACCTGCTTCCACATCTCCAGTGCTGGGATGGCAGGCCTGTGCCAGCACACCTGGTTTCAAGGCTGCTCTTGTCCAGACACAGGGCAGTAGCTGGCTCCAGGAGCTGGGCTAGAGGCATTCAGGGAGGAGATGTCCTCCTGATTCTTCTGGGACAGCTTAGGAGCTTGGGCAGCCAGCATGTGACCAGCCCAGGGCTGGTCATCAAGACACAGGGCAAATTGCCCATCTGTCCTGACAGCTGTCCCTACTCCCTGTAAAGCAGGTTCCATCAGTGGCTGACTCCAGGGCTTTAGCTATTCTGTAGCTCAGTCTTTAGACTGCTCAAGAGTTTGCAGGAGCCAGCCCTGGGGCAGAGACCCTCCAGACCTGGGCCAGGACAGAGGTGCTGGGAGATCGCTGAGGATGCTCAGCTGTGGGAGACATGTGTACTCGGGATGCTGGAGAGGCTCAGTGAGGACCCGCTGCCCTGTATATGAGGTCTCAGGGTTGAAAATGCCCCAGTGCGTGCTACTAACAGCTTCTGTACCATGAAGGTTCCCCCAACACTTCTCAGCATCTCACACCATCCGGGGCCTCCCACCTGACTCTTCCCGGAGCTCAGGATCAACTTAGGAGGCAATGCTGTGACCCAGGCCACTGGACCCTCCAGCTAACTCAGCAGAAACCGCCTATATGAAGTTCGTGGCTGGCTGGAGAAGCACTGGAAGCACAGGCCACAGAGGTGGTGTGGGCCCTCTTTCGACACCTCAGGAAGTCATTCTCTGAGGCCCCTAGCAGATAGGGAACTGAAGTCAAGAGCCCAGGGACCAGAAAGCTGTTCCATGAGCCTGGCCTCTTAGTCACCCTGTCAGGAGGGTATGCTGGGGTCCTTTGTGGCATCTTCTCCCGAGTCTCTCTCTCTTTTTTTTTTTCTTTTTTGTCCGTCTGCATCTAGACATTTCTCCACCTCTCTCATCTGTCTTTCTCTGCTAGTGGATTTGCCACCTGCCTCCCCCACTCCCATTTCCATCTCTGCCTGGGTCTCCAGAGCTCCAGGACTCTCTGACTCTATTGTCCCTGCTCCTATCTGCCCAGTCCGCTCCTCTGGACCACCGTGGGGACAGACCACTCCTGCTCAAGGTGTGTAAACTTCACTTGGTGCTTTTCAGTCAGTTAGGGAGTTAGTTACAGGACAAAGTGACCCTGGGCCCTTGGGCCACAAGACTGGGCAGCTGAGGACAGCTCAGCGGCTCATGTGAGAAGCCGCGACCTGCACAGACCCAACCCCGGGTTCCCCACGCGCCGCCCTCCGCAATCGCTCTCGATTAGGCGCCGCCTTTCATGAACGTTTGTCAGCTAGACTTCCCCGCAAGTTGTTTGCGCAGACATCAGTCATCCGCGGTCCCATTGTGCACCCAGGATTGATGTAAGGCGGGAGGGGGTGGCAGGGCCTGGGGCGGCTGCCTTTAGGCCTTGCTCTATAATTTTCCGAGGCATAATTGGTCTGGGGGCGGAGCGGGGACCTTTCAGAAGCGGGAGGGGGCGCGCAGGGCGCGCGGTGGAGCAGCGGCTGCCCGACGGCGCT